CCTAAATCTATGAAACTATGAAACTATGATCACAGAACTTCAGCTTCTACAATTGCAATCTGCTGTTTGGTGAGAGAGGCAGTGGTCTGCTGGAAAGAGAGCCTCTACCTCACTGCTCTGCACTGGGGAGGAAGCTCTTCTCAGCCAGAACGACTGACATGCTCGACCAGGCTTTAAACTAAGCCTTCCAGGGGATGGGGGGACTACCACCACAGCAAGCCCACTGGGCAACTTTTGTAAATCCAGCAGGCTAAGGCACTCAAGGGAACCCACCCCTACCCTAACCCCAGAACAATGTGTAGGGAAGATTAGGGCCTCCAATGGGACACTTATGTCTTTGTATACCAATGTAAGGAGCTTCAGGAATAAACAGGAGGAACTGGTCCTCCTGCTAGATAAGAATGACTATGATCTCATAGGGATAATGGCAATGATTGGCAAATCAGTCAGCAATGCAGAAGTCCTTGATTTCAGGAAAGCTGACTTTGACAAGCTCAGGAGGCTTGTTGGAAAGGCCCTAAGGGACCACAACCTGCAGGGAAGGGGAGTTCAGGATGTGTGATTGCTCCTCAAGGGAGCGATCTTGAAAGCACAAGCAATGTCTATCCCATCTCAAAGGAAAGGTAGCAAAAGGGCACAGCAGCACCTTCAGCTCTGCAGGGAATTTGTGGACATCCTGCATCTAAAAAGAAAGACCTATAATGGATTGAAGACTGGAACCACCTCAAAGGAAGAGTATTTTGCACTGGTCTGGACCTGTAGGGAACGAACCAGGAAAGCCAAGGCTGTGACTGAACTCCAGCTGGCTACACATATCAAGGACAATAAAAAGTCCTTTTTTAGATATGTGGGGAGCTGGTGGAAAAGCAAGGGTAACATCAGACCCCTGCTAAACCAAATGGGAGAACTGGCAACTGACACCCAGGAAAAAACCAACCTGCTCAATGGTTATTTTTTGTCAGTTTTTCACCAGCCGCAAGGGACGGCTCTGCTCAATATGGTATGGGATGGCCTGGGTAAGGGATAATGGTCACACTACATCAATGTAGACCAGGTGAAGAAACACCTTGAAAGACTGGACACCTTCAAGTCAGCTGTCCCAGGCAGTTTACAGCCATGGGCATGAATCTTCGAGAACTCATGGTGCTCAGGTGAAGTGCTCAAAAACTTGGAAGAAGGCCAATGTGCTGCCTATCTTCAAGAAAGGGAGGAAAGTAGATCTGGGGAACTACAGGCCTATCAGCCTGACCTCTATCCCTGCAAAGATCTTGGGAAAAAATTATCAAAAGGACCATTCTTAACAAACTTGCTGATGGCAACGTCCTGAAGGATAGCTAACATGGGTTTGTTGCAGGTAGGTCTTGCCTGACCAATCTCATATCCTTCCATGACCAGGTGATATATCACCTGGACAAGGGAGAAGAGATTGGCATCATATATCTTGACTTTAGAAAAGCCTTTGATCTGGTGTCCCATGATCTCCTCATGGAAATATTGGCCAACAACAGCGTCGGGTACATCACGGTACTATGGCTGGGAAATTGGCTTCAAGGTCAGACCCAGAGAGTGGTATTAGATGGAAGTAAATCATTGTGGTGCACCGTCACCAGTGGGGTCCCCCAGGGCTCCGTCCTTGGGCCTATACTCTTTAATATCTTTATTAATGATGTAGACATTAGTATCAGAAGTGGACTGGCCAATGTGGAAGAAATCAAACTTCGCGTTGTGGTTGAATCAGAACTGACAGAGCCAGTTTTTCTTTATTTAGGGCTATACTGTGATCACAGGGAGGATTTCATACAGCAAGGGGAATCACCCACTTGTCTGTTTCAAAGGATTTCTCCCCCTCTCTAAGTTTTCAAGCATTTTTATACTTAAGACAGATAAAGAGAGAAAAAAAATACGACCTTGGAGAAACTAAAACAAGTTTACTTAATTGGACATCTGTGCACAGGGTAATAAGACATGCAGGATTTCTTATCTCAAAACATGTAACTGAAATAAGCAGTATCAGCACTTCTGGTCTCTGTCTGTTTTTCTTAGTCAAGTAGGCCAGAAGCTCAACTAAATTTACTCCTACATTCCCTAATTTTTTTTTTAACAAGTTAGATATTTATAGCCATTAGCTTTTCAACTTCTAGTTTTTCTTTCTCTTTACTTTCTGGTATTTCAACATACAAACTATATACTTTGTTTCTGGTTGATGGGCTATTCCTCATTTGCTTGGAAGCACAGGTTAAGCAACCTTGTATTATCATAAACACTAGGCATACTCCAATAAAAACAACCAACAATATCAACAAACTATGAAAGATGGTACAGCATAAGGAACTGAAAATAGAGCTAAACCAAGAATTCAAATTCCAACTATCTGACTCATGCAATTTAACTGCTTCTTTTCAAATATGTTTACTTAAATCCTGGATTTCTTCTGAATTATCCAGAATATAAGTACAACATTCTTTGCCTATTAAAGCACAGACTCTTCCTTTGCTGACTAGTAAATAATCTAACGCAAGTAGGTTTTGCAATGTCATTTGCCTTATTTTCTTCATTTCTGTATTTATTGTATCAAAATTATCAGCAGGGGCATTAGCAATCTTTTCCAGACACGCTGCAACTTTCTTTATCTTGGACATAGCTAAGCCTGCGTCATAGCTGGGGAACATTATACCTCAAAAATTTGATTTTCTGTAATTTTGTGAACATTGCGAATTCTTCCTTTAGGTAAGTGAGATTTAATAGTAAAGGCTGGATATGCTGCGGGGACATAGCATGTTCCTCTCCAACCGGAGGGAAGATTTTTATAGGCCTTATCTCCACATGCAAAATAGTGACCAGCTAGTGCAGTATATCCACCTGTATTACAGCATGGGGACATCATCCATTGTGAATAATAGCCTGAAAATTGACCTGCAGGGGAGTAGTTAGATATCCAGGAACCATTAGAGAATCAAGCGCCATTTATCCTAAATTCTAACTTGCACTTACTGACCCCTACTATAACACGAGATCCATTACAGGTCCAACAGAACTTTCCAAGGATGGCATAAACTATTCATACATAGGCCGACTGGTTGCAACTTACATGCTGCCTTGTTTCATTTCCATGAAAATCTGAATAGTAAGGGGCTAACATCTGAGTTGCATTCAAGGGTACCAGTATCATGGGTATTCCTCAAGTAGAATAGATAGGGACATGATTACATATCCAACAATGAGAGACATTTAAATCTATCCCAATTTGATTAACTAAAGACAAAAACACATTTTCATGAAATGACCTTCTTTGTCAGTGCGGAAGTGTAGTTTGGTTTACAGTTTCTTATAACTGATAAGTCAAGTTCATATAAGATGGCCCAAAAGGAAATACTGAGAACTATTTAAATCACGACTAACCAACTCCACCTTGGGAACCAGGAACTAGGTGAAGGCCTTTTTCCTGTCCCGAAGGGCATAGTGGTGTCATCGGGGCACATCCTTTTTGCTCTGTAGTAGTGGCAAATCCTCTTTGCCAGTAGGTGCTTGGCTCACTACTGGTCTTGAGCTCTCCTGCTGGCAAGTACTAGGCTCACTATCAGTCTGTGGAGGCTGATTACAAGATTGATATGGAGGAGACTCTGGGTCTAACAGGGCTGATGTTTTCTTACTGTGTGAAGCGTGGATCCATGTCTGGAGTCCTTGACACTCTATTGCAGTGTTGGTAGTCAGGAGTACCTGGAATGGGCCTTTCCAGTGAGGTTCCAGCGATGACTTTCATTGATGGACTTTTATATAGACCCAATCTCCAGGCAGGATAGAATGGCACGGCTCATCTGGTTCTTTGGGGAGAGCTGCCTGTACCTGTGAATGAAAACCCTTAAAACACTTCATTAGTGCCTTACAATAGTCCAGAACAGTATCATCAAGTGAATGTATATCACAAAAGTGGGAGGCAAGAGGTGGCAAGACAGGGAGTCTCATGGGTCTTATCATTAGAATGTCATGTGGGCTAAGCCCAGTCTTTCAGTTGGCAGTAGATCTCATACTCATAAGGGCTATGAGAAGTGCATCTGGCCATTTTAGGTGAGTCTCAGCACAAATTTTGGCCAGTTTATTTTTCAGAATGCCATTTAGGAGTTGCACTTGGCCCAAGGCCTGTGGATGGTATGGGCAATGAAAGTTCTATTGGATCTGCAGGACTTTGCAGATTTCTTTCATTATCTGTCTAGTAAAATGAGTTCCTCTATCAGAGTTTAGGGATAAAGGAATACCCAACCTTGGAATAAAGTCTCTGAGCAACATTTTTCTTACAGTGATGGTGTCAGCTTTTGCACATGGGTAGGCTTCTACCCATCCAGAAAAACATACATACAATAACAAGAACATATTCATAAGAACAATATTTCTGCATTTGAATAAAATCTATTTGTAAATTTACAAACGGTCCCCAAGGTGGGGGATGTACTGCCTTCTTTGTTTCTACAGGCTTTCCCACATTATGGACTTGGCAAATAGGACAGGTGTGGCAGTACTGCTTAGCCACAGATGGAAGAGTTGGAGCAAACCAATCAAGCTTAACAGCTTCTATCATCCCCCCATGCCTTTGCTCACATATGCCATGACATGGTGTATGCGAGCAAGATGAGGAAGAAGGAACATTGGGGCCACCAGGTGGCCATCCGGGGCACTCCACAAATGATCAGGGTGTAACAAACACCCAGCCATTCTCCAGGTATGTTTCTCTGGTTTTGGAGCCTGATCTTGGAGAAGGGCAATGTCGTGAAGACTTGCCAATGGAGACTGGTCAGTTGGAATAGACAAAAACACAGGCGTAGCCTGAGGAGTGGAAATAGCCGCAACTTTGGCAGCGGAATCTGCCAGAGCATTCCCACGTGTAACATCATCATAAGGTTTCTGGTGAGCTTGGCATTTAATAATAGCAACAGCAGAAGGTAACTGTAAAGCATTCAACAAGGCATTTACATATGGACCATTACTAATCTTGGCACCTCCAGGAGTGAGGAAGCCTCTTTGTTTCCAAAGTTGACCATAATCGTGTACAATACCAAAAGTGTAGCGAAAATCAGTATAAATATTAACAGAGGCACCAGAGGCTAGGGTGCAAGCCCTGGTGAGGGCCACAAGCTCAGCAACTTGCGCTGAATATGTATTAGGTAAATGATGGCTTTCGATAACATCATATTGGGAACATACTGCATATCCTGTAACAAGGAAACCTTTTGAGTTTCTTTGACGTGATCCATCAACATAGAGTACTAGATCTGGATTTTGCAAGGGGTTGTCCTTTAGATCCATGTGGTGTGTTGTTAGGTGAGCACTACAAAAATACAATCATGTGGTTCACCATCTGAAGGGGTAGGTAACAGGGAAGCAGGGTTTAAAACAAGGCACCTAGTTAAGGTGACATTTCTAACAGAGAGAAGCAAGATTTCATACTTAGTTAATCTAGCATTTGAAAGGTGTTGGGTTTTTGTTTTTAGTAAAAGGGCTGCTACAGCACGTGGGACAGCAACAGTAAGGGGAGAACCTAATACAAGGGTAGAGGAAAGTTCAACAGTGACAGCAGCTG